GTTGCCATCGAACGCCTGTGCTTGTATGTGCGTATAGTGTCCTGTGTGCGTATACATAGGAATTCGCGTTATATTTTGATCTACCCATATGATAGATTGGCATAGAGAAGTGCTGAATGTAACTGTGTAATAAGAGTTTGTCTATATGGTGAGTGGGTGGGCGCATAGCTCTTGAAAACTAAAGGGATTTATAGCTTATGGGGCGGGGGGCGGGGGGGTGGCGAATGAAAGTCTAACGATCAAGCAACGACAGAACGATTTTGGACTTTGGAACTTGTACATAGTAGTATGAATGAAGGCAACAAAGGAAATGTAATACAATTTTTTCTAAAAACGAGAGCAATTCTTAGTTAAACAGAAGTGGAATACGTGTGTTTACCGCGTATGTTAAGTTGAAAAACAATTGCAATTATTGTACGTCTGTAAGTGTGTACGTGTATGTCTCCTAGAAAAGTGTTACGCTACATGCTCATTTGTAGAGCGAATTCTATGCTAAACTGGAATTTACAGTATGTTTACTTGTCCGAGTGATACCCTTATGATGACGTGAATCGTGCACGGCGCACGATTTCGAAGTAAATTTGAGGAAATCTCCTTTTCGCTTGAACATTTTGTAATGTAATAGCTGCTCGGTGTATTTTTTGTACTTGAAAAAATCGTTATGTAGATTTGCGTTTATCGCGGTTGTAGGAAAGTATCTTAATTACGTACAGATATACCAGCCACTTCGGTGGCTAAGGTCGCATAATAATTCTAAGACATGTTTTTATTTAAGTTTGAAAATGTACGTTTCGTTATTATTACTTTAAGAGTTACTTTTATCTAGCACAACTTTTATTTATTTATTGAAGTATTCAAGCGGAAGGTCTGAGCATACGTCTAATGTAATGTTCTACCTCCGCTCATCTGTACCATTTTCTAATAACTCTAGTCGTGGATGCTACATCCATCTGTGAGTGAAACAATATAAGTATTATCATATAATAACATTGAAAGTCCGAAGGTTACAAATGGAAAAGAGAAAGGAGGCTGGGTTGATGGTGGAGAAGAACAAAGGCTGACGAAGTCATAACGAGGAGATCACAAAAGGGATAAGATTTACATATATATACACAC